TCACCAAGTCCCAAAGCTAAAGAACAAGTTCCTGCTCCAGTCTCTTTTGTTTCCTTCCCAGACCACAGACACCCCTAAATGAGCAGTGCTCCTTTGTCTGAGAGGCTGAGGAATCACTGCTACAGCCCTGCCTGCCCCTCTGAGCTCCAGGGACTTTCTGAGAGTATCCACAGAACACCCTGGCAAATTACACCCAGAGGCAACTCTAGATTTTGTCTTACCACCAGGATAAAAAACCACAGACTATTAAGATCAAGGTTCATTCATAGTTCCTTAAATGCTTCTTGGTTTGGGTTGGTGGTTTTGGTTTCTCTGGTTTGGTTGGTTTTTTTATTTCCCTAGAAGACATATAACACTATTTTGCACTACTTTAAACTAAGTTACTGAGTAATTCTGACATAGGCTGTTCAGAACTCTTTGTTCTGAACTCTTGCCAAACAGCTAAGGAAAAACAACGGCACCCCTAACAGCTGCAGCCAGCTGCAGTTCAGACACAGTTCAGATCTCCAGTGACAGCAGAAGGAACAGCATTTCCTAAGGGGGGAAACTCCTTTATGCCTGTTCTCATCCCATCCCTCCCCTTCCTTCCTAAAGGAATCACCAGTTCTCCATGTGCTTTTCAAAGAGGCTGCAGAAACCTGAATTTCGAGATAGCAGCTACAGCATAAAGCAAAACTAAAAATGGCCATTATTACTGATCCCAAGGTTGCTTCTTCAAGGACACTTTTGGCATGAATAAATGAGGAATCCATGCAGCCTTTCTTCCTGCTCTTTTTCTCCACTGATCTGAACTTATGTTTTGCCTGCCTACCCCAAAGACCTAAGCTATTATTCCTGGATCTTAACTAGTTTCATTAAGTACCAATAAATATCTAGCTCTGGTGTCATTTAAGCCTAAAGGTGTAAAAATTCAGGCATATGGGCTTATTGCACCTTCTGGGCACAGTTTTTTTGTTCCACACAAATTAATCTCAATTACCAGTTTCTTTAGGAGCACATTAAATTAACTGGGAAAAAAAAATTAAGATCTTAGTTACCATAATGTCTGCAGATATATGCTGTCCACATAATTGAAAACAGGTGCTGCTAAAGAAGCTGCCACCAAAATCAGCTGAACTGCTGTGTTCATCTGAGAAAAGCAAAACAGGAACTGTGAGCAACATGAGGAAGTACAGTGCAAGGAACACCAACATACACTTTTATTACTGCTTTAAGGATCAGTCTACATAAAGAAAATGTATTTAGAAACTTCCTTAAAATAAAGCATCGTACTCTCTCAAAGTTAGCACGTGCTCTGACAGAGTATAGCTGAAAACATTTCAGGATCCATGTACATTTGGCACTATTCTGAAATCATACTCAGCATTACTGGTAAATCATCCCCACCCTCCAAGCCACACAATGCCCCAAGCACCCAGGAGTTATCTTTAGTAACGAGTTATTGCTCTTACCTTGCTGATGAATGTTGGTTTTAATTGTGCAGTAGCATAACACGGGTTAAAATACCTACTCAGTGTTCTCTGTTGGGAGAGAAAAGAGGAAAAAACATGCAGCCCTTGTACATTCAATCTGATACATCTGTTCACATGATAAAGAAAAGGCAACTGAAGAATTACACTGCTCTTTTGTAAGATTTATTATTACACAGCACACACAGGGAAAAAAGTTATGAGCAGCTCTGACTTATCTTTACAAACCATATTTTAATAAAACACTGCTCTGCTTAGAAATCTACTTGGCAAAAGAACAAGCACTACATCTTGCAGCCATCAAGTCTCAAGATGACAAATCTCTTGGTCACAACCTTGCTATTAATCGAGCTTATTAATCTACTTTTTGCTATGACTACAGGTCTTTAATGCTGTGCACTCACCGGTGGAGAAAGAGTTTTGTATCGCACGTAAAAAACGGCGGCAATGAGCGCCGCATCCCGCAGGATTATCATGGAAGTCAGGGGAACTGCAAGACCAAGCCAACACCAGCCAGTGAAAAACTGTGTCCGTGACTGAAGGGAAAACACAACCAAAAGAGCAGAAAACTGGAAGCAAGAAGAAACAACAACTCCCAAATTCTCCTCAACAAGCTCTATGCATTGCTGAGGATGTTTAACACAGCTCCTGAAAGGGTTTAAGCTGAAGTCTTAAAACAATCCAGTCCATGAAAAACAACTTTATAGAGCTACTAACTACTATTGCTTTAAAGAAAGAGCATTTAGAAATGGCAGTACAGGCCAGCTGTTTTTCTATGTGGCAGCATTTGCTTTTCGTGGGGCCCCTTTGGAAGAGTTTAATGGGAGCAAAGAGTAAATGGCAAAGCAAGAGTTCCAAGAGATGCAGAGTTTTCCTTCTAGAAACACAAGAAATGCTGCTACACATAAACTGATCTTCATTACCTTATCTAGAGCACACAAGTACCATTTCCTCACCTGGGATAAGATTTGCACAAGTTAGGCTCACGTAGAGCACGCTGATGAGGATTTTATCTGCCAGGGGATCGAGAGCACTTCCCAGTGCTGATTTCTGATTAGCCCAGTTCCGTGCAATAAATCCGTCCAGCTAGAAAAAACAAAATTCAATAGCTCTCTGTTAGAAGAGTATGAACCAAAATAGCTCAAGTACACTTTAGAGAGACATGTAACGAATAACATTGGGTAAAAAGTGAGTTTAACTAGGATAAAATGTGTTACCTCTTAGCTTACACTTGTATCATTTAACAGACCACCAGGAGTATAAGCACTGAGCTGCCAATGCCCACCTGGGGCTGGTCAGGGAGCCCTGACACTGCCCTTTCCTCCGTCAGCATTAAGTCCCCTTCAGGCACCTGCAAGTTCCCTTTGCAGGACCACAAAGGATATAGACAGCATTCCTAGAAACCCACAATCTACACCCAAATCTGATTTATCCGTTTCCATTCTCCACCGGAGTCTGTTCCCACGCGTGCCCACGGGATCCCCGTGAGCCCGGTGCTCCCAAACCGATGCAGACATACCAGGTCTGTCACGCCAGCCAGGACAAAGACACCGAGCGCAACGTTGAAATTCTCCTCAACAATCAAATAGCCTAAAACTGGCGCCAGACCCATTCTCGCCATAGACAGGATATTTGGGATCGTCCAGGGGTTTTCATACTGTAAAAAGCAAGAAATGAAAAAACTTCAGGGCAGGAACTCAAACCGCTCCTGGGCACATAACAAGAGTTTTAACCGCGACAAATACTTTTTCCGCTCAGCTAGCCAGGGAAGCTGCTGGAAGCAGCGCGGTGCTTTCGCAAGGCGCACGGCCTCGGCCCGCTGGACGCGAACTTCGCCTCCAGCGGCGGGAGCCCGCCCGGCAGCGGGAGCCCGCCCGGCCCGGTCCCCCCGCCGCCCCGCACGTACCAGCTCGGCGCAGGGCCCCGCGGCGCCGCGCTCCCGCCGGGGCTCGGGCGGGGCGGCCCCGCCGCTCAGGAGGCGCCAGGCGGCGGCGGGCGCGCGCAGCAGCCGCGGCGGCGGCCCCGCGCCCGCGGGCAGGCACGGGACGCCCCCGCCGCGCCGCCCCACGGCCGCCGCCGAGCCGAGCCGGCCGCCCAGAGGCCTCGCCGCCCCGCCGGCCGGCCGCCTGCGCTCCGCGCCGCGGAGGAGCCCCCGCCAGGAGCCGCGGGCCAGCCAGGCGGCGGCCAGCATGGCGCGGCAGAGCGGCGAGCCCGCGGCGCCCTACGCGCGCCGCCGCGCTGCCCGCGGGAGCGCGCGGCCTCGCGCCATCCGCCCCGCCGCACCGGGCACGGCGCGCGAGCCGCGCGCGGCGCCTCCGCCGCCGGGAACGCGCGGCCTTTTACGGCAGCGCTCCGGCGGGCCGCGCGCTTTACGGCAGCGGCGGGGCTGCAAGGCCGGTACCGGCAGTGCGCCGTGCCGCTGCTCTCCCAGCGCGGCCCATCCCGCTCCCCCCTCCCGGCGGGGCCGCGCCGCTCCCGGACAAACCCCTAGGAACGGGAACGCTTCCCTTACCTTAACCGCGAGCGGTCTCCGGTGCCCGGTGCTTGCTTCTGGCGTGCCCGCGTTTCCCTGTCTGGAGGAGAAACGGGAATGAGTTCGGTTTCCAAGTGCAACGCTGCGGGCCCAGCCTCGTACTAAGCCAAAATCACCTACTCCCGAGTAGCTGAGAGAGCACAGCTTGCCCATTAAGAGGTCCGATGTAGAACTATAATTTTGTACTTAAAGCATTTCATCAGGCTGGCCTGTTTTCAGTTTCAACGACACTTGGTCCCTGATGTCCCTTAAATTGGAGGGCGAGGCACCAAGTTTCAGTATTTCTCCTTTTTTATCTATCATATTGTGAAAAATGCGTATTTATGATTGGCTTTTAACAAATATTAAATTGAATGCTGTATATATTACGTTATATTGATTAGAAGTGCTGTATTAACATTTTAATAGTATGGTAACTAGTTCTGTAGTTTAAAAAAACCCCACATATATAGTTTCTATTTTAAGACTGAGATAGTCACTTAGAACAATCCCAGAATACCTAAATCTTCCAGAGAAGAGGAATTTATGGTTCTCTTTGCTTTTTACTGTCTTGTAATTGTCCTCACTCTAAGCTTTTATTACTCTAGTTGTATTGCTATTTTTGTAACCATTTTATAGTTACTAAACTTTTAAAATTTTAAAAAAACCAAGTGATTGGTGTTTTTCACGCATATCTTACCTGAGAAATGAAAAAGGGAGAACAGAAGAATCAGCACTGCAGTCCTGATTTTTAAAAGTATGTTTTTCTTTACTTTAAAAGTACATTTTTTTCTTTCCTCTTGGTGCTGGTGGTTTCTTAATTTTTACACTGAAAGTTTCTCAGGTGCCATTTCACTGCACCAGACCATGGTTCCGATTTCATCAGTCAGGAAACATTCAGCATTCCCCCCGTGCTGAACACACATGGTTCTGTGTCAGGAACAGTGAACTGAAACAAACAGAACCTGCTGCTGTTACAGAACTTGCAATGGCCACTGAACAGCCTTGAACAAATAACATTTCTCATATATAAAGTTTAATGGAAGTCAAAATTCAATCCCTGCTTTACAAATTAAATATTGCAATAAGGGTATTTTCTTAAATCACACTTGGATTTCAAATAAAACCTTGGCTTTAAAGACCACAAAATCAGTTTCAGTGAAGTGTCATTTGGTAACAGCTACAAAACAGTGTTGTCACAACATTCTGGAAACATTTCTAGACTTTAAGTGAACAACAGTGCTGAAAGTACAGCTCAAACCATCCTCTCATGAAAGATTTCTGGGCTGAAATGTGTGGGTCCAGCATCTCTTTCAGAAGTAAAGTCCCTTATGGCACTGGAACAGTACAAAAACACACCTTCCCCTCCTGCATGATGGTGAGGTCCTGTTTGGAACAGGGGGCTGGAGGATGAGCCAGGCAGCAATACCACGTGCCAGTCTGCCCTGCTGCAGCTTTCCAGTTTAATTTCCTGCAGGGAATCTGCAGCCCAGCACAGGCCAGAGGTGCAGCTCCACTCAGGATGTGCCTCCCTGCTGCAGGCCCAGCAGGCCAGGGGGACAATCATCCCAAGGAAGTTCATCACAGGGACTCTTCTCACATGGTCTGGAGCTGATAAACTCTTGAGCCTTTCTTCAAAAGATAACCCTGATCATTGAGGGATCCAATAAAGCTCTCAAAATCAGATACCTGGGAAGATAAAAATATCAAATGTGAGAATGACATCTTACCTGATGTAAAGCAACATAAACCATTTGAAAGAACTTAGTGAAATAAAGTGGGCTAAGCATAGGTCAGCTTCCTGAGCAAACTGTTCACCTAGCAGGAGGTCTCACACCATCAGTCCCCGTTTTGTGCTTTAGTTACAGTTTCTACTGCAGCGTTACACAGAAGCAGCATTCTCTCCTTTAGGACATGAAGAAAGGATGCAGCTACATATGTATAAATTCCAGTTCTGAAACAGAAGTATCTACCACAGAAAAGCACATTTTCTACAACTCTCCCTGATTTCCAGGTATAAAACTTAGAATGGGCAAAAATATTCTATATATGAAGGGAGAATTAATGAAATTAACTTTAATAAGTAGTTGATGGAGCAAAAAGTAGAGCTGGCTATCAATAGTTCTGTTTGGCTGAAGCCCCCACCGGTACAGAATGCAAACCAATGACAGGGCAGAATACATTTGTGGCCATGTGTCCTAGTTGATGTTCCTTTCAACACACAACTTCAGGATGTCTGAAGCAGGAACAAAAACCTGAAAGGAATATTTAATCCAGAGGAGGCAATGCATAACCATCATTGCACTGCTGAAACAGAGCACAGACACCACAAGTCTGAACTTGGGAACAAAGACAGGCGTGCCCCTGGGGAGGCAGAGGGAGTGCAGCCCTGAAACCACCAGTGCCTTTCACAGCTCAAAGCAGGGTCTTGCTCAGAACCAGCCTCATCAGTCCAATGAGCCCTGGGCAGTGCAAGGAGCTGCTGCTGCAGACAGCTGTGGGGAGAGTGAGGCTCCCAGAGACACTCAGGAGCTGTGCTCAGCCTACCAGCAGGACACTGAGGCACACCAGAGGCACCTGTGCTCTCTCCCTTTGGCAGCAGCCAGCGTGGCTGGCCTGGCAGTGCTGCTGGGGGAGCTCACCCGCAGCTGCAGCTCCCGGGCGATGTGGCGCAGCTGCTGCAGGTCGAACAGGTTGTTGTAGGTCCTCTCTGCGATGCTGCTCAGGGCGGACACGAAGCGCTTGGCCTGCGAGCGATGGCTCATCCCGGAGCCGTGCTGGGAGCGCTCGAAGTCCAGCTTGCCAAACTCATCCGAGTAGGTGCCCAGCATGCTGCAAACAGGTTACAGAGAGAGCAAACGCTCACCGGGAGGGGAAAGCAAACGTGGTGGGGAAGATGAAACAGGAAAGCCTTATAAATGTGATTACCTAGCAAAAGATTTTGAGAATATGGAAACTGTGAACGAGATTGAAATGAAAGCAAGCTTTGAGATACCAAGCCTTAGTTACTAAACAACCAAAAACCAATAGTATGGCTGGCTGAAAGTAATCCTCTTTTGATTAAACAATACTCTCTTACTTGCAGACAGGTCCAAGGGTCAGACTAACCTACTCACTTAGAAGAAGGAGTCCAAAAAATAATTTTTAAAGTTAAAATGTAACACAGTATAGTAACGTAATAATACTTATAAGCTATATATAAATACTATAAAATTTGTGTCTTATAGTAAATTAGTTAGTAAAAATTAAAATATTCAACACAAAAGGAGTTTTTTTGTATTATAACAAAAACTTCCTCCCTCTTACTCTTTCAAATTTCTCATCTCCCTCTGTCCCACCTGTCCTACCCACCGTCACTCCTACACAAACATACGTGGATTTGATTCCCAAAATGAGAGAGCTTTCAGAAGCCACACAGGAAACCAACCCCTATCAGGTCACTCTCTAGGGAACTTAAACTAAGCATTCATCCAAATCACTTTTAAACTTTAATCACAGGGGAGCGAAAACCCTTCAGCAGAGCCTCTCGTCTGTGCCCAGACACACAGGACCACTGTGACCACACAGCTCACAAGCCTAAGCAGTTGTATTTGACTTAGGGCTGCTGGCAGCTTTTAAAGAGCAGCTAACAAATCCAAATAGTAGTATCATGGGCCTAAGCTTGATAAAGTTATTTCTTCACTGTGTTTGAGTATGTAAAGAAGTTTCAAGTAAATAGCATTATGATGCTTAATATTTCTTTCTAAAGCAGTATTTTCTCTTACCTGTATTTCATTATCTCTATTACATCCTCAGCATCTTCCTTGGTAGATTTCTCTCTTAATTCCAGCCTTGATCGTGCCTTAAAACAGAAAAAAATACCTTACAAAGGTTTAAGGTTTAACTGATCTGAAAATGGGATACAATCACTCTACCAGAGCTACAAGCACAAACTTTAGGAGCAGAGATAGAACCTAAGCCTACAGGATTAGAGGAGGATTTTTCTATTTCTTGTTAGTGTATCAACATCACCTTCTGCGTACTTGCACTTTTAGGCTGTGGCTTGGAGTTCATTTGCTTTTTAGCAGTGTAGCCTCGTGAAGCAGCAGATCACAAATAGTATTGTTAAGGCAGTGTCAGGGAAAACAAAAGCAGTCTAGGCTCAAGGTGGGCAGCAGGTTGTTCCTTCCTACACCTACTTTTTCTCCTTTTGGGGAATGTGATAGATTCTCTTTCCATCTCCTCAAGGGTATTTTGCTTTGCAAGAAATTTTAAGGAACAGTAGCTCTTAAGCACTTCTAAGCCTCTTGCATTCTCACTTTTTTTTTTTTTTTTAACAAAACAGAAAAAGCATAGGGGTGAATAAGCTGTAAAGAAATGGTAGGATTTGGGTAGTACCTTAGGAATAATCTCTTTGCTTTCAATCCCTTAAGCATTCCAGCTTGCCCTTACCTCTGTCAGTCGGATCAGAGACTCCAGCTGCCTTGTGGTGATGGGGGTGCTGTCTGCTCCTTGGTTCTGTTTCCGGAGCTCAAGGTAGAATTCCTGGAGCACTTGTGCAGCCTCTGGAGAGAGCTTTGGGTGCACGTACTGCCGAGCGTACCCCACATACTTCCTCAGCAGCTGATGGGGAATGGCATCAAAATTTTCTCCTGTTGAGATCTAGCACCATTACAAAGAGTTAGATTTCTGTCTGTCAGAATTCTAAACAACAAAAATTTTAATATTGAATCATTATCTTTATGCTTTATCTGGTGCAGTCATCACTCTAAGGGTTTTGGTGCTTCGTATATGAACAGTGTACTTCAAGTCCCCACGCTATGCACAGACATGTAAACACACATACATGGCCATTTCAGAAAAAAATCCAAGGGTTCTCATCTGCAATAGGGAGCTAGGAAATGCCAGATAGATTTCATTATAAAGTTAAATCCTTTCTCAAAAAGAGAAAATCCCAATTCCCACAGCTCCAGAGAAGACTAAACTATCACATTCTCTGATACTGAGACCCTGTTTCCAAAAGTGCATGGGATTACCTCCAGTAGGAGTATTTCTCCCAAGACCTGGCATTTGACAATACCAGTCCTCAAAGTCATCAAGTCTAATGAGAAACATGCTCCCTTCTCCTATGCTCCCCAAATCCATGGAGTTGCAGACGCCCAAGGATTTGCTTCCACACTGCTTTACTTGCATTCAACACTCCATCACAGAGCACGTTATACCAAATTATTACACCCAGCCCACCTCTGTAGCTCCTTATTGAAACCCAACACAGCAAATGTGCTTTAGAGCAGGTCAGGCAGCAGCCCCAGGACAAGTCCCACCTTCAGCCTGTCGAGCAGGGGTCGGTCTGAGGTGGCCTGGAGGACAGAGTGCTCCTGGGAGCCGGCCCGGGTGACCAGGGCGCTGCTGCAGGCGGCGCGCCGGCCGGCCCGCAGCGCCATCACGTGCTCCGACAGCAGGTGGTCGTGGTCCTCGTTCGGCGTGTCCAGCAGGATGAAAACCAGGTCAAATCTGGACAGCAGAGCGCTCCCCATTCTGGAGGAAAGACAAGGAACTTGGAGTGCTTGGAGAAGTGGAAAAAGCGTAGCAACTCTGTTCCACTTCAAACACAGGTAAAAGATCCTGTCCTGCTCGTTCAGAATAAAGTACAACAGCAATTTCTCTCTCAAAAGCCACTAAAAATTATTAAAGTTTGTGTTCACACTCCAAAATTCTAGAAAGGAAATGTACATGAGCTACGAGACTGCCAGAAGCATCTACTCCTGAATGTGAATTATAAAAGCAGCATTTCAGAAAGGGCTCACTTTAGGTTCTCAGACACTGTTTTGGCTTTGTTATAATGTCCTCCAACAGGGTTTGCCGCAGCAACAATGGATGTCCGAGCTGGCAGACTGCACACAATGCCAGCCTTGGCCAGGCTGATGCTCTGCTGTTCCATGGCTTCCAACAAAGCCTGGTGCTGGTTTCCCATCTTATCAAATTCATCTATTCCACAAATTCCTGGAAGCAATTAAAACAGGACAAAGACTTATCAGACAACAAAGTAACTGAAGGACAAGTGTGTCCTACAATCCAGTGCTACATCAGAAGTCCAGCTCGGAACTCTAGGGACTGCAGGGGACATTGGAAAATCTCCATTTCAGCCAGCTTTGTTTGCATTCCAGGGTAACGCAACCAAACTCCTATGAACTCAGCCTGACTTGGGGATGCAGCATTTTTGGTGATTCATTAAGACAGTGAAACAAGCTTTTTAAAACTAGACAACATATCTCATAAGCAAGTCCTTTTTCAAGACCAATAATAGTCCAGCAGCTGACATAAGTCAGATCCCTGAACAAAAGAAATCCTAGCTCTTTGGCACAGTAAGTCTGGTATCTGAACTGGAGAACTGAAGTTTTCCTACACTCTAGGAAAGCAGGAACTGCCTCCAGAGAAGCCACTGGAGAAGCTCAGAACTTCCCGTGGTGTGGAAGCCCAGTATCACACTTCAAACACACATTTTTAGTCCACAGTTAAATTAGCTGAGCACTTTGGCTTAGCTGAGACTCAGCAGCACACACACTCCTGTCCCTCACACGTGGCTACACAGAACCTGTGGCATTCCATGGATTACCTTGATCTCCAAGCACCAAGGCACCAGCTTCCAAGGCAAAATCTCCAGAAGTGCCATCTCTGGAGAGTGTAACAGTCAGGCCAGAGCTGGTGGAAGTATTACCACAAACATACACGCCTCGAGGAGCGATGTTACACACAGCCTAGAAGAGAAACAAATACTTTTTCCCTCCCCAGAATGAAGAATTTCATAAGCCTCATTCTAGAGAAATGATTCAAAGTAAACCCAAATTTGTTTCTTTCTATTGAATATGGCCCAACAGTAAAGCTCTAACTCCCTGCAACTCCAAGACACATACTTCTGCAAAGCAGTAGGAGTAATTTTCTTGGATGGCATTCTTTTTTTTAAGTAACAATGTGAAAAAACAAATCAGTTACTCTATGTTGAAGAGTCCTCATTCAACAAAAGAATAATTTAAAAATTTTCTTTGTTAAGACGCTTGCGTGCAAATCCATCACTTTGGCTAAGTGCAAATCATATCCTAACACAACAGGTCCATGTTAGAAGGACTTTTTAAAGAAGGTCTAGGTGAATTCTGTCCCTCTTGCACTTTACAGTAACCATGGAAAAAGACATGGAATTTAAAAATCACTCAGTTTAAGGAACAAAAAAATCTATTACTAATTGACATAGTAATGCAGAAATACCTACTGAGATGAAAACCCAAACACAGCATCAGGTCCCCTTCCCAAAAAGCCATGATCTGTGCTAGCAACATAGAAATAGGGTAAGGAATGGAAGTAAGCCTTACAGGAAGAGAATCACAGGGTATTGGAAGTTGCATTTGTTCAAAGATTATTTACTTCACTTCACAATGGACCAGCTAAATGAAGACAGGAAGGAGTGAACCTCCTCACTGGGAAAAGGGGTTGGTGACAAGAACTGTATAAGGCCAGGAGAACAAGCCTGTAAGCCTGTCCTTGAAAGCCTGTGGGCCTGACCAAGGACACCTGCTTTGGTGCTTTAACAGGCTCCCTGGATGGCAGGAGAGCCCTTTGGATACTCTCCTGTACTTGAGGCATCCTACATAAAAAGACAGCTCCAGCCAGGCTCAGTCAACCCTTTGGTCTCAGCACAGTTATCCTACCATGGCTGCAAGACGAGATAACAAGGAAATAGAGGAAATCAGAAAACAGTAATTAAGGAAACCATACTTGCAACATTTGACTTTTTCCTAATCCTGGATCTCCAACCACCAGAACATGTGGATCTCCTCGCACTGGGATTCTGTTCTTGTCATCCACAAACTTCTGACATCCTCCAAACAAGGCCAGGGCCAAACCTGCCTTCACAATCTGTCGTGGTAGAGGCTGGTAAGTATTTGATCATGGTGACCAACACTGAGCTTACTAGAACTGGCTGCAATAACCTTCCCTTCTGGATCACTGAACTTCAGGGTACAAGGCTGCCACTCCCCTGACACCAAAAGAGACTGTGAGCCACAGTCACCTGTAAAACAGTCCCTGCTCTCTCCCCCTGTCCCAGATAAGCTTTGTGAATCCTTTTAGGAGTGAAGTGTAGCATATGCATTTCAAACTGGAATCACAAGTAGAGTTTTTAGATGACTTACCTCGTGGCCATAGATTGCAGGACAAAGAGAGCTGCAAAGCAAAGCACAAGGTAACATAAGTGGAAGACAAATCATGTATTACTATAAATAATCACTTGTCCTCTCTCTCATCAAACCTTTTGGGTAGCTGGTGCTGAATTTCCAACTGAAATCATCAGCATCAAATTTCTTGAAATTTTTGGATAACCAGAAATGACTGAAATAAGAAAAGTTTTTCACTTGAGTCCCCACAAAGATAAGGGAAAGCAGCTTCCCAGTGGTATCTGCACCTATTGTCTTGATCAAGTAACTACCTGCCACCCTCCTTTTAAAGAGCTGACTTTGTGTTCTTTGACTCCACTGGGAGGGCCTGAGGGACATTCCAGGTAGAAGAATATTTTTTAGTCTGAACTGAGGGTCTTTCACACCCTCTGCTCAATTCTTTACTGTGGAAAAGCAGAGGATAAAATGGTACTTGTAAGTTGAATTTACATAGTGATAAACAGAATGAACAAACTGCTTTTTTTACCCAGAGCTTTCTGTCTAAGGTTAAGCTAGAACACAGGTAACTTCTTGTATCCCTAAACCACTCCCAAAGCCCCAACATTCCCACTGCAATACTTCCATCACTCCATCCCAAGTCCCTTGCCCACTGCAGTTTGTTAGATCTCTGTGGTTTCTAGTGCACGAGGCTCAGACATTCCACAGCTTTCAGATGAGCTGCCACATTTGTCTGAAGGTGGCCACACTGATTCATGTCTAATCCTAGACCCAGTCTAGGTCTGATACAACTTACTTCACAATGAGCCTGAACAGATTTTCCTCAGCTTGAATTTCTTGGATAGCATAGAGGTCTTTAAGGGAAAACTCCATGAACGATCTCTGAAAGGTCTCATCGTCAAAATTCTTCAGTTTTTGTCCTTTACTGTTGCTGACAGAATTTGCCTCAATGTACAGCAAGAACATACACTTGTCATTCTTATTTTTAGAAGCTCCTGTTAGAAAAATTGAGAAAGGATGATGGAGCATTTTTTCTGTCAGTAAGAATTCATTATCTACAAATGGCATAGAGTAAGTCAGAAACACATACAGCCATGATCCTGTTTAAGTACTGAACATTTGCACTTGGTAAAATTGATGCAAAGTAAGTTTCTAGTTACATTTGTTCTTTTAAGTTCCCTCCACTTATGTACACAATAAATATTTTCCTGAAATTGAGGATACATGTCTAGAGAGAATTTTGTCCCAGAATAAATAAAAATTTCCAGATATTTTAAATTATTACATTACTGTTGTCAAAGCAAAGTTGACTATAAAATGTTTTCACTCCATATTTTGTGGAAAAAAAATGCATGGTGCAGAAGCATTAAACTTGTAGCGTAGTAATTACTCAGTAATTATCAATTAATAATTTTCTATATAGATTGATTACTGAGCAGAGAATGAAGCCTCAGAGTAAAACAGTCTTGCAGTTATCTGCAATGTATTCTTTCAGAGCAGTGCACAATGTATTTCTTCATTTTGGGAAAGAAGAGGAAAAAAAGGGTTGAAAAATTTCTCTAGGGAGACTAAACTAAGATAACTCTCCTTCACAACAGTGTGTGACAGTTCTCCTAATGTCTGAAGGAGAAACTAAAGAGAACATGTTAAGCAAATAATGCCTTAGAATAACTTTCCATTGTAAAAGTTTGGTAACTTCCAAAGAAATGTACACTTTATGGACTTATGGCACCAAGAGCAGCAATTGTTGTCGTTCTTGTGTAAGCACTACCAGAAACCCCACCATAGGAAAAAGGAATTCTCAGATGCTGCCTCACCTTCCTCAGTGCTTGCCACCTTCACTATGCCTGTGACTGTGACCATGTCCCCTGGGACACAGCTGTCCACCAGATCTTGGACCAGCTCACACTCGATGGTGCGCGGGATCCGCCCCGCTTCCCGCTGCTCGTCCGACATCAGCTCCTGCACCCTGCAACACACAGGGAGAGCTGGGCACCAATGCAGCACCTGCAGCTGCACACAGCCGGGCGCCACGCAGCACCTTCCCGTGCAGCTGCAGCACACAGCACCTGCAGCTCTGGGCATCTTTTCCAGGCCACGCATACTGAATGGGTGTCAACCACGCATAAAACCCAGAAACGCCGTAACGATGAACTCAGAGTTGAAATTCAGATTTTCTACCACCGATGAGCACATTCATGTAGAAATAAGTATGGTACATAAAGTAAAAGGCACCCATATGAAAAATAATGAAGAGCTCAGGCATTATAGCCCCTCATGAATTCTTAATAGGTATTCCAACCCTGGAGAAGCCCAAGGAATTTCTCAGACCATAACAAGAAGAGCAGTTGACTCCCTGGCTGTGAAAGTTCCAGCTCTGGCTTTGCACCTGGAGCTCTGAGATTCCCTGGAAGCCGAGCCAGGCTTTACCGAAGAAGCTGTGATGAACAGCGCCCTCTGGAGCTGCTAAGAACAGCTACGAACGGTTTTCACAGATTTTTTGAATCACTTCAAACTAAGATTTTTAACCCTCCAGTTTAATTCCAGCTCATTTAGGTCAAGCGGCACAGCTGACCAATACTACCTAATTGGGTTTTTCTAGCTGACTTATAGCCCATTAAAGGGAATAACGAAATCATAGATGTAATTAGAAATTATTGACAAAAGCAGCGAAAGAGCACAAACTGAGCATCTCTCAAAGAGCTCAGTAATGGCAGAAGGAATTTCCAGGAAATTATCACAGGGTGGGTAACAAAGTATATCAGTACTTGGATAAAACAACTGCCTTGTGATACAAAAGTTGGAGAGTGCTAGGTGCAAAAGAGTAAGATTATTAAAACACAGTGCAACATGGGTTGGGCCATCCTGTCACATCACACTTTTGTGCTTACTTGACAGACTGCCAGTCCACTGTGGTGGTTAGAGGAGAGCTCCTGTCAGCTGTGAAGGACCGGCCCCGGCACTCGGGAACAAGGCACTGCAACAACAGGAATTGATTCATTCCCAGACTTTTTTAAAGTCCTAGGGTGAAATTGTCTTATTTGATTAAAAAAAAAAATAAACAAAAAGAGGAAAGCAAAGCAATACAATTCAGCATCATTCCAGGAAAAAAGCCAGTTTAATTAGGGCTACAAATTAGGAAGTACATAATTAATGCGGATCTGCCAAGCACAGACACCTGAACTCTGACTCACAGCTGTTAGAGCAAACACACCTGAATTGTGTGATCCCCTCAATGGACTGGTTTGAGAACAACCAGGCACTGTCCTATGTTCCAATAACTTCTTAAGCCCAAATAATAAAAAGTTAAATTAGAATAGAAAGTTCTTCTTATCAAAAAAACAAACAATGTAAGCATAGAAAACCACCACAGCGAGGTGGAAGGGTCTTTTTAAACACAACTGGTGAAATGGAAATTAAGAGATAGTATTTTTTCCAGATTTCAGAGAATTTCTACATATTTTTTGTCACATATCCTGTTCCAACAGCATACATTTTTTGCAAGTAACAAGGGTCTGAAGTAAGAAAAGTTGCATGTTATGTTTATTTATTTTTCAATGTATTTCAGTTGTTTAACCTAACTTTAAAGACTTCCCCCCCCTTGTTTTTAACATCTGCGGTGCCGCCTTTTGCGAAAACACAACCAAAAGCACGAAGTTCAATGGTTTTGGCTTACCTTGGTGGGAAGGGTGTACTTGCCATCAGGGAGAGGAACACCCTGCACATCCCCACAGGCAGCACAGACGAAGGCCAGGTTGGTGCACAGGGGTTTGATGTTGCTGACCCTCACCACGGTGCCACGCAGGGCAATGTACTTGCCATAGCAGTTGGCCCTTACGTTTTTCAGCTGGGTTAGAGGCTCATAGTTGTACACCCTGCATTGACACACAGGAAAAAAGGAGAAAAATAACCCCCAAAACCATCCAAACATGGACAAAAAGTGCTACTCCCAACTAAAAAGGGTAAAATCCAGAAAAAATGAAAACCAAAAAACATTTAGAAGTATTTTTTTGGTGGACCCATGGTACAGTCTTTGATTCTTGCTCTAGAAAGTAGCAGAGCATTCAATATTCTTCACGTGAATCAACCTGAACAGCCTCAGACAGTACAGCTGGTTTATCCAGTGACACCTCTGGCCTAGCAATACATTACTTTAAGATCATCCATAACTGTCTCTTTCCATAGTTTCAGATAAAGCCTGGAATTTAGACTTGTGACACAGAAGGACCAAAGTTTTATTATGGCTCTGCTGCCACCAGCAGGGAATTAAAAACAATAATAAAAAAGAAAATAATTTTTAAAAGGTAATTTGAACTCCAATAGAGTTCAAACTCCAATAGAGTTTACACATCCTGTTCCCTCAGACCCTTGAAGTGTGAGGTGCCATTACTTCTGATAAAGAAAAAAAAGTTCTAAGAACTCGTTTCATTAAAAACTTCTCCAGTCAACAGAAACTTAAATAATTCTGCCTTTAATCAATGTATCTTCAATAGATTACTTGCTCTACTTATAAGCCACTTATCTACTTACAAGCTTTTCTAGTTCAAGCTGTTTGTTCATCTTATAAGGAGGTTTCATTTCACTTTTTTCTTCACAAGGACATGAAGTCACAGCGAAGAGAAAAAGCAGAATGCAGAGTGTTCTTCTGGAAAAAGCTCCACAGAGCCCAGTTTTCCCTTCAACATGTAAGCCACGCACAGGCACTGGCAAGGATTAGGCAGGAAGCAAAGAGCCCTTCCTTGGGACAGCAGAAGTGCCCAGCAGCCTCACCTGGCGTGGATGAGAGGCACATTTATGACGGGCTCCCCATGCAGGGGCAGTCCCTCCTGCACCTGCAGCGCCACCGCATGTCTCTCCAGGTCCTTGGTCAGCACCTGTGTGGAACAGGCAGGGGCACACACCCCCACAGGAATCAGAACTCCCAGCAGGGACACACACAGCTGCTAGAAACACATCTACTTTTAGCCAACTGCTCCAATGATGAAAGAGAAAAATGCACCGAGAGCAAATCAACTTCAAAATGCGATTTTGTGGGTCACACAGGAAGGGGAGAGATTGAAGGATTTGAGTTTTAAACAAACAGTAATTTCCCCTAAGAAAGAAAAACACAGATGTGGGGCTAATAACATAATTGCCTCCAAGTGTCACTGATGCTTTTTTGTTGTGAGGGTTCTGCTTCCATGGATCGTAACCTCATGCTTACCTGATGAATTGCCAGACCCATACACTGCAGTATTTTCTGAGGCATGTCCCTTAGTTCATCAGATATATTTGGAATTGATTTAGTCAGCTCTCTGTCCTGGATTAGCTCCTTATAATCCACGAGAATGCTTCCTTTTCTCTCTATTTCATCCTGGGAGACATCATAAATAACAAAATGCACTTCAAACTAAAAGCAAAGCACCCAAATTATGTCCCAAATGTTTCAGGTCTCTGATGGACTTTACTTTTGATGGAAAAAACCCACTAAAAATCTGTAGCATTCTTGTATCAACAATAGGTTGTTGGGGTGGGATATGTTTGGCTTTGTTTCTTACCTTGTCATAAAGCTCAATGTGCTGCATGAAAAACTTTTCAAAGGCTTGAGTCTTCTGGACAAAAGGAGACTTGTCATTGTAAACTAATTAGAAACACACCACATTAGTGACAGAAATAATTCTTTCCACTTCACAAAATACATCAACAGGTAATTTTTCTTCCATTGTTTTTCTGCTTTGCAAAATTAAGGAAGATGATAGATCTCCAAATTATCCCAATAATGATCACAAATGTTACAGTATATCACAAGAGTAGAGTCTTCCTTGTATTTATGTTTTTATATATGAAATTTTGGTTTTTCTTTATTGAACTTGTAACTCTACTAACACTACATGTAATCAATTCCAGAAAAAAAATAACTTAAATACTTGGTACACATAATTTTGGTCTAAAAATACCTTCAGAGAAATAAAGTTTCCAGCCCTTGTAGGGAATAAATTGCTCCATCGTTGATTGGACTAGTCGAGATTTTGCTGGGGGAAGAAAAAAAAAAAATAACATAAAATAATAAAATGGAGAGAAAGAATACAGATAGCGAAATTTTGCAAGTTTTAGTCTCAGCGATTCTTTTGACCACGGGAGACAAACAACTGTAACTGCCTAGTACAGTGCGTTAGAAGAAAAGGCTTCAGAAAGCAGGCAGAAGCACAGGGGCTGGCTCACCAGGGTCGGGCATCCTTTTGGGCTCTGCCTTCTGTCCTCTGCCTCTCCATCCTCCTCCTCCTCCTCGCCATCCTCCTCGCCACCCGTGGAAGCCTCTGCCCCGGGCGCAGCCCCTGCCTCTGAGGTCCCGGCTCATCTCCCGCTGGTGCCGAGATGAGGCAACAGAAGCAAGCAGGAGCCGCTTTAAAGCAGCGCTGCTTTGCGGAGGGGATCCCGCGGGAGGCGGGCCCTTTCTCCCGTGCCCCAGCGGCGGGGAAGGCGCGGGGCAGCGGGGCCGGCCCGGCCCTCAGCGCCCCCTCAGCGCCCCCTCAGCGCTCCCTCAGCGGCGTTCCCGCCTCCCGCGCTGCCGCTCTGCGCAGGCGCGCCCCTCCCGCGCGGCTCCGGCGCCTGCGCGGTGCCCGGCGCGAGCGGCGGCCATGGAGGGCGGCCCGGGCGCGCGCATCCGTGAGGGGGACTGCGCCGTGCTGAAGCGGGACGAGGTGTTTAAGGCCGTGTCGGTGCTGCGCCGCAGGTCAGGCTCCCGTTTGCTCCTTCCGCCCCCGCCGCCCTCGGTGCGGCTGTGGCGGGCCCCGCCGGAGGCGATGGGTCCCGGTGCTGGTCCCGGTGCCGGTACCGCCGCTCCAGGCGGGAATAGCGGCCCGCGAGGCTGGTGTGGCAGCGGCGGGAAAGCTTTAATGCTGCCTCTGTACCTGTGGCAAAAAAAAACCCCTTTAGCCCGGAAGATGTTCTGGGCGCGCTGCTGATCAGACTTGGGTACAGACTGAGGAGGGTTTGGCGGTGCCGGTGTCAGACCGGTGTCGGTATCAGACCGGTGCCGCTGCAGAGGAGCCTGGACGGCGTGGCCGCAGTGAAGCGCTAATCAGGATTGCTAATTGCCCTGAGCATGCTCGATGTGCCCGCAGTTTGTGTGCGAGGCGCTAATCAGGATTGCTAATTGCCCTGAGCATGCTCGCTGTGCCCGCAGTTTGTGTGCGAGGTGCTAATCAGGATTGTTAATTGCTCCGGGCGCAGGGGGCAGGAGGATGCTGGTGCTCTGGCTGGCTGTCACTTTGGAGGGGCTGCCAGGAAAGGGCTCCCGTTTCTTCCTCCCTGCAGCCCGGCAGGTGTTACATGTGATGTTTTATCTGTAACGCCGGGAATGCTGAAATCGCTGGGCACAGCCCGGGCTCGTCCCCTGGCAGCTGAAATTCTGTAGAGCAGCGTGTGGCAGTCAGCGTTGGGTAATGCGGTGTGTGATTCAGTAGGATGGAGGTTTAAAGGTACTGTGCTTGAACGGGACTGGTTTGAGAATGGTGGAGTTCAGAATTAGTGCTGAGTATAATTCGCATAATTAAGGCTCATGTTGGCAAGTTTTCATTTGAATGTGAGTGTGGCTCCAAGGCAGCCTTTGTTGGTCAGCCTGAAAGTTAAAGGCTTTGTGAATCCTGTTTTTAGTGAAGGAAGAGAAAATGCACACCTTCCAAAATTGCCTTGGAGCAATCAAAATTAAAGGGATGGTAAATTTAAAATTTTTAAATGAAATATTTCCAGGATTGCTGTCTGTTTTCTTCATAGTCTTTTGGCAATTCTTATTTCTGAGGAGCTTTGCAAAATACAGGACCGTGCTCATCTTTTTGCTACTACTCTGCATGACCCAGCTTGGATTTAATATATTTCTGACTTTCTAAAAGAATTATGCTGACAAGTGCCATAGCTTTATTTATCTGTCATTTGAAAATTCTTTTGAACTAAAAAAAAATGTTCTTCCTATGTGGTGTATTTAAGTTCTTTGTTCTTTTCCTGACCAGTTTCAGTTTAATGTGGGTTTTGTGGTTAATTTCACTCTCTGTGCTTGTCCTGCTTTTCTTCGGGGATATTGATGGAAATGCCATATATAAAGCTATAGCTTAGGCTCAGATATAGTGGGTTTCAGATGCAATAAAGATAATGCTTTAAGTATTACTCGCTTTTCTGTTATTTCAGGAAAATAATTTTTGAGAAGCAGTGGTTCTACCTGGATAACGCCATCGGACATGTTTATGGAACCACGTTTGAAGTAACCAGTGGTGGAAACCTCCAGCCAAAGCAAGAGGTGGAGGAGACTACCACAGGTATCCCAGAGACTGACAGCTGGAAACACTATTTCAAAATAATTTGTTTCTTTGATGATACCAAAAAAATTGGGAAAGCTTTCTATTAATCAGTTGTTAACTACATGCTGCTTACATTCTTTCTGTCATAAAAGTGCATGGTTTTGTCTTGATCAGTGGTTTCACTAGTCCTGTAACAAATAATCTTTTTAATGTGGGAGAACAATTTGAACCTTAGGCTGGGTGATTTTATTCACATTAAGTTTTACCTCACATGTGACATTTCCTTGCTCAGGCTGTACATTCGAAGGCCATGAAAAATGTGTGTTTAACCACGAGAAATCTGCTTTCTGTGACACTAAAATCATGTGTTTCTCCCACTGATTTGGAGCTAGATTTTACAAATCTGTATCCTTTTCCTTTAGAAACAAAGGAAGCAGGGACAGATAATCGTAACATAGTTGACGATGGGAAGTCTCAAAAACTGACTCATGATGACATAAAGGCTTTGAAGGACAAGGGTATTAAAGGACAGGTAAAAATAAGGTTTTGGTGTCATTTCTGTGCTACCTTGATGGTTATATTTTAGTTTCTGAAAAAGGATATTCTTTTTATCTGTGCATAGATTTCAGTGCTTTTTCTTTGTTCATCTGGTCTTTTTTTTTTTTTTTTTTTTTGGTTTTACAAAAATGCTAAAGCTGTTTTCAGAGAAAACTTTATGTAAGGTTGTCAGAGGAGGGTAAAGAATAATTTTTTCTGGCATCATAAGTCATAACATAAAAAAGTACAGCTCACATAATTACCGTTTAGTTTTGCTTATGTATAAGGTTCAAAATATTACTTCTGTATTACAGAGATATTAAAATTGTGCAATGATTAAACTGTCAAAGGTATAGGAAAAGGTTATGGCCAAACAATGAAGTTTTATCAAATACCACTGTGTAACAAATGTACCACCACTGTGCCTGTAGGCAGTGCCTGCCAGACAGGGGCGATGCAGGTGCTTTACTGTACCTGGAAAATTGAGAGTATTCCCAGGAGATCAGTTCTGTTCTGTTAGAAAAGGAGTTGGCATTTAAGTCTGCATCTTTCATAAAGGGATCTTTAAACTGCCTTAAATTGTTACTAAAGCATTGCAGCCAGTTCTGTTCTGCAGATGCTGTCAGGCACAATCCTCTCTGGTCCTTGGTGTACCCTTTCTAATAAACCCAGGAAACTGATCATGCTTACCTCAAGTTCATCTCCTTTTGCAGCTTGCTCTTTGGAGCAGTTTTCTGCTTTTGCCTGCTGGGTCTAAGGGGTTTGGAATGGTCCTTCTGTTTCCATGGTTGTGCTGCTGGTTGTGTGATCTCTTGGAGAAGAATGTGCTAATTAGGCTGACAGCTTTGATGGCTTTTGTTTTCATATCCATGGCAGAAGATCCCTCTGACTTTCCTGTGTGTCCTCAGCAAGCCTGTGCCATGCATCTCCTGTGCTTTTATTAATTCTGCTTTCTGGACTGTAACTGAATATTCATTTTAAGCTACATTAGCAGCAATAGCTATTATTCCTCCCTAAATGTCTGTTAAAATCTGAATTCCTATTTGTGAATGGTGTGTCTTGGTGATGCAGGACACTTCCCTGCTTCCTCACTGTAAATTTTACTGGGATATAAAAAAACCCCCTACAAAACAACATAAACAACCCAGGCACTGGATTTATTTCTTTCCTAGAATAAAGCAAAATAGAAAGAGATTATGTTTCTAATGATTAATAACACATGTTAAGTGTTTGAAGGAATAATGGCCTGAAAAGGTCAATAGGAAGTGAGGAATACTTGCACCACTCTGTTATTTGAGCAGGTTTTTAAAACACAAGGGGAGCTGCAGTGTCCAAATTGAAAGTACTCCTTTTTTCACTTGCCCCCTCCATGTTTAATAGAACCCATAATTTTAGCAGTTAAACTACTTGGATCACAGGAGCCAAAGCAGCAGCATTTTTGTTCTTGTGTTGCTGGCACGGAGACAAACCCCGAGCAAGGAGAGTGCTGTTGGATCGGTTTGGTTCTGCTGGAGGTCCAAGTGATCCCTCCTGCTGGAATCTGAAAGCACAAGAAAGAGCTGGGCTGGCAAAGAGTGGAGATTAGAACAGGGAGACCAGGAAACCAAAACTGGAATTCTGGAGAGACCTGGGAGCTAGAGAAGGAAAAAAATCAGGAGGAGTATTGCAGGAAGCAGTAAATGCTAAGGAGTTGGACACTGTGCAAGGAGTTGGTACAGGAGTGTGGCAAAATTTGTGAGACTGAAAAAATTATTGGAGTGAGGGAGATGTCTGGTGATTAACCAGAGCAGAGGGGAGGAATTGCATGGAACAGGGAAAAAAGGTACCCTCAGAGATGCTGGAATCAGAGAGACCCAACGAGGGAGTTGGATTAAAGGAAATATTACTGAATATTCCGCAATAAGCATTCTTATTTCTCTGATTTTTATGCAAAATGATGTGATTAAATTCCTACACATAGTCAGTGTAATGCCTCACTGGTCCTGTTGGCTAACAGAGATTGACTTTGCCATTAGCATCAGGAGAAGTTCATGGTATACATGCCTCTACTGGAAGAAAATATTTCCAGTGCTTGTTTAAAAAAGTACTGTCTATGAAATGAATGAGAAATAAATGCTAGCTGTAACAAAAATGAATTGTCTCTTCCAAGGAAATAGTTCAACAGTTAATAGAGAACAGTACAACATTCAGAGACAAAACAGAATTTGCCCAAGATAAATACATAAAGAAGAAGAAAAAAAAGTAAGTGAACTTTATAATGTGAAAAATACTTGGTAAATCCCTAAATGGTTGAGATTAAAATAAGATCATTACTATGTTTTTTTACAGATATGAAGCAGTTATTACAATTGTGAAACCATCCACTCGCATCCTTTCAACCATGTATTATGCAAGGGAACCTGGAAAAATTAAGTGAGTTTTCATTTTGTTTCTTTTTTCAAATGATAACAGAAAGATACTGTAATACTTTTTAAATACCTGCACTATACCAAAGTATGCAGTACTCACTTTTTTTCTCTTGCCCTTAAATGTGAAGATTGTGATTTAATGAAAGATAATGTGATACTGAAAATTAATTAACAAGGCAGCACACAGGAGAACTCTTGCATGCAGCTCCAGAATTCACCATTGCTAACTGCCCACACAGACAGAAGTTCTTTGATTTTCAGAGGTACCTCTTCCCTGCTTTGGCTGGTGGCCAAACACCTCTGTGTTCTGTCTCAGTGAC